GATTACTCCCTCAAAGTTAACATGACTATACCGCCCGTCCTATTCCTTAAGTGTAACTTAATCCGGGTATAGGATTCGTCCTTCGCAAAAACCCAAACAACCCCAATTTAAACACATAATCAAACAAAACAAATAATAGTAAACAGATAAGACAAATTAGGCTTAACCCACTTAGGGATGGACCAGCAAGAGGTCAATCTATTCCCCAGCAGAGTCGCCAATTCTGTAGCGATAAAAAAATGTAGCGGGGTAAATCGGAGATCGAATTATTGATTAATTCGTCTCACAAAAGCAAGAGTCGCCGCCGCGCTTTATTGTTTCCAAAGGAAAAGGGGAAAGAGCGAAATAAAACCCTAAATATGTAATGTAAATAAAAATAAAAATACAAAGCGTTTTTGAAAAGAGATCTTATGGTTCGGGGGTTGGTTATACAATGGGAAGGTATTAGCACCCAATGCATCTATAGTACTCTATAGGAACCTTTTGAAATATCTGTTTATTCAAAATTTGATTGCTCGATAAAAATAAATCGTTTTGGCCGAAAAGGGATACGGATAGGTTTTTGAAGATACGACGACCTAACGTCGAAGTTTTTGCTTAAAGGGTATAAGTTTTGAAAAGATTGAATACTTGAAGGCAAATTATCCTAAGTTTTAATGAAAAACGCAAATATTCGCGCGATTAGATTTGAGGACATGAAGTCAACAAATTTATCGTTTTTCCTTTGGATTTAAACGTAAACGGAATAAACAAATAAATATGAAATAAATAAACAGAAAAATTATGCGGATCATGATTATGTACAATAATTAAATGATAGACTAAATGATATAATACATTTTGGATTTCTGATTAATATTAGTAAAAGAAAGTGTTTTAATTGTTTCTCCATTTTACATATTTTTTATATGGATGAATGCAAAGAGAATTAATTAAAGGGAATAAAATGTTTTTTAAGCTTTTATGTTTCTATTTTTATGTTTTTGATATTAATATAAAAGGTTATTTTAGAATTATTAAAATACTAAATTAATTAAAACTTAAAAAGGTTATTAACCTAACTCTAATTAAAAAGGAATTATCAAAAATTATCAAACTAACTCCTAAAAGTTGAACTAATAAAATTAATTATTAAAATGCTAAAATTAAACTATGCCTATTTGATTGAATTGCTAATTATTACAAAACTAAAATCCTAAAAGGAAAGAAAGAAAATGATAGAACGGGGGGGGGGGGGGGGGGGGGGGGGGGGTGCACAAGCAGCACGCTGGGCTTAAAGCAGGACAAGGCCCAAACAAGAATAGAAGCAGGGGGGTGTAAAAGCGATTCGTTTGGGCTTCAAGGCAGGAAAACCGGTTTAGGTCCAAAACATGATAATTGGTTTTAGGGTAAACAAATGTTTAGCTGAATGGGATTAGGGCTTTGGTCTTGGCCGAAACGGCGCTCACACACTCTCGCTTCAACTTCTTCGTCTTCGCGCGTTTATCTTCTTTGCTTGAGTTCTGAGATAGTCCTCTGCCTATGGCCACCAGTGACCCAATCTTCCTCTTCCCTCCAACGCGAGCTAAGGCAAACGACGGATTTACGGTACGATTTGTTTTCTATTTCGTTAAGGGTTTTGCTACTGCATGTTTGATTTTACTTATTTTCTGATCCTAATTTCATGTTATGATTGTTGAGAGTGTTATGAAGGAAAAGAAGGATAAAGGAAATTACCTTTGGAGACGGAGGAGGGAGTTTGAGGGTGCGTAGGAGGCCGGACGGTAACGAGGGACACACAGGATGCTTGCTTCAGCTTGGTATCCTGGTATTCGTTCTTGATTCTTTACTTTGGGCTTTGATGAGGGTGAAAAACCTAGCTTCTGAATACCTTGATTTTCTTTCTTCTCTTTCACTGTACCCTTTGCGTTGCTTTGAACATTATGTCGTCTTGAATGCTTCCTTTGATGCTGTTGAAATGCTTACTTTTGACTAGCATGATGCTGTTGACGCTTTTTCTTCTTCTTTTCTGATTTCTGTACGCTTCGTGGAATTTGCCTATGATGGATTCTGAGGTTTGGGTATTTGGTCGTTGGTTTTGGTTTTAGAAATGGTGATATTGGCTTTTGTGGCTCAATCAGATTCCCTGAGGTTTAGGCCATTACAGGTTTTATGCTTTTAAGCCATAATGTTTATGACTTGGTTATATGGTTTGATGGTTTATGCAGTAGATTTGGAAACGGTTCGATGCAGTAAGTGTTTTGAAATGGTGTAGAGGTTTGATGGTTCAGACAGTAGGAAGCGTTTTATGTGATATTGGTTTAAGTATTGCAGTAGGTTCTTGCAGGTTTGGCCGTGTTTACTGGTTTGTTCTCCAATAGGCTAATGGTTTATGACAGGTTATGTGGTTTTTCAGTATGCAGGTTTATGGTGATTGAGGTTTTAAAACTTGAGGCCTTTTTGAATAGTTTGTGCAGTTGTGGTTTATATTTTTTTGTTGACAGCAGTTTTTTTTCTAAGTCTTTTTCTAAGGCTTGGAGGTTGATTGATATCTATGTTTGAAAATGATTCCAATATGTTATATCCACCTCTTCTTTTGTTTACGTTACAGGCTGGAGATTTGAAGATTTTTACAATTTCTTGGCCTTCTGCATCACACTGTTATAGCAGTTTTGTTTGTATTCTACTCTTGTGTTTCTCCTTTTACTGTAATACTGCAGTAGCTTTGTCTTATAATTCTTTCTGCCTAAACCAAAACCTGCAAAACCAATTTCTTGCTCTCTTCTCTCTCATGGGTATATTTGATATATAAAAATGATATAATGTACCACTGTTCTGAAAAGGCATAGGCTGAAATATGATGAATGAGGAAGTATAGGTTGCTTGCACATTGTTTTGAAACTGCATAATTCTCTTTTGTCTACTGCATGGAGCTTAAGTTTTTAACTTCTTCCTACCTCTAGGCATGTTTATGTTACACTTTGGCCTTGGTTTGTGTACATTGTATGTGCTGTTTGAAATTATGCATATGATGCTGATTTTGAAATATGTTGTGGACTTTTAAAAATGCAATTGATTTTTAATTATGCAGTTTTGAAAACAAAATGAATTTGTGCATATTTCAAAATTGTGCATTCATTTATGAAATAAAATTCCTCCCTTTTTTGTGAACCGGGAGAAATCCCGTGATTTGCAAAAAAAAAGGGCAAACTGATTCCAGCCGTTTGCCTTTAATGATGAACATTAAATTTATTTTCTGCTTTTAAATATTTATTCAAATCTGACTTTTCTTTTAATTGTTTTTGCAGGTAAAATTAAATGAGCAGACGAAAAGGCATTGGATAGAAGATGAAGATTTAGAATTTAGGAAAATAGTTTTTTTATTTTACTTTGAGCATTTATGTAATTGCCATTATAAATATTTTGTAATAACACAATATTTAAATGATAATTGTAATAAATAGAATAAAGTGAATAAAATTTTATTATTTCCCAATTAATTCTTTTTTCTTTCCAATTATTTATTTATTGTTTATAATTCTTTAAATTATATAATAACTGAAAATCAAATCCAATCATTTAAATTCAGAATGATAAACAAATAAATAAACATCATTGGCCAATTAACAATTTTAATTATTTAATTCATTATTCATAATATTCTAAATTATAATAATTAAAAAAAATAGAATTTTAATTATTTAACCTAGAATGATAAAGAATTAAATAATCATTGTTGACCAATTAATAAACCCATTCTCAAAATGTTTATTTCATTATTCATAAGTCTTTAAATTATATAACAATTGAAAATAGATTTCAATTATTTAAATTTAAGATAATAAATAATTAATAAACGTCATTTAAATCTTGATCAGTTGATAAATTTAGCGTTCAACAAATAAATAGCTCTCGACTCGAAACAGTTATGAATTTTTACACTGCTTTAAAAATTTGATAAAAATAGGTCAAAACTCTTGCAATGCGAATGATGCAGATGGGAGATGGTATCTTAGGTCAAAATTTGGGGTACAACATATATATATATATATATATATATATATATATATATATATATATATATATATATATATATATATATATATATATATATATATATATATATATATATATATATATATATATATATCCTTTAAACAAAAAAGTTTTAATTGATAACGATAAAATTCCATTTTAAAAAATATAACATTATTGCACTATATGATTTGATATAAATCGATAATCTCTAATTAAGTTAGAAGTCATCTTTATCTCATAGTAAACTTGTTTTCGTTTGATAAAATTAAACTATACTAATATACTACAAAAAAAAATCAGATTTAAATTAATATTATATTAGTACATAAACACCATTAACTGAAATATGAAAACATCTAAATTAAGTAATTAATCGAAACATGGGCCACGTTAGTCTCACAAATAATACAACCAAGACCAATTTTACAAAATTACCATAGACATTCGTTGCATTTCCAGTAGTTAATTTTTATTACTACAACTTAGAGTTAAGTTTGTCATATTTTTTTTACTTTACTACTACAATTACTTTTTAAAGAGTTTGTTATGCTGAGCTGTAATGATATAAATATGCAACAAACCTCTTATTCTAGAATCTTCTACCTCTTCTGAAATTTAAAATAAAACTAAAGCAAATAATTTATTTTTTAATTAAAATATCAGTAACCGAAGCAAATAAAAAATAACACTATCATAGTACATAATCATTGCATTAACTGTGGTTAATTCTTAATACTACCATTTAGAGTTAATCTTATTACATTTTAGCGAGTTTGTTATGCTGAGCTGGAAAACTAAATCTGTAACAAACCACTTATTCTAGAATGTTCTACCGTTATTCTTGTTTGTAAACGTTTGAAATTCTGTTACAGTTTGTCATGAGAAACAAGTCAGTTATATAGTAGTAATGTAAGAGTAACATTATACAAACATAACAAGAATAGAAGTTGAAAAGCAGACAGAGAGAGAGAAAGAGAGAAACCATGTGCCCTACATACCAAGAAATTACCGATTCATCTTCTGACTTTTCTCCTAACTATTCACCACCTGACTATTCTTCTCCTCCCAGTGTAGAATCTCAGAATCGTCCATTGCAGGTTAGTGATTCTTCTTCTTCATCTTCATCTTCATCTTCATCTTCTTCTTCTCTTCTTTTCTTCATTCACTCAAAATGCAATGCATGTTCATACGATCTTATGTTAGGTCTAAAGTTTTATATATTTTTTGCAGCTTTCTTTTATCCTTCAATTCAGTGGTGCAACAACATCAAGAGGAGATTCTGGTGCATCAACATCAAGAGGAGATTCTGGTGCATCAACATCAACAGCAAGTAGAAATGGATTTCATGGACCAACTGGTGCATCAACATGGAGGGAAAATGGATTTCATGAACCAACTGGTGCACCAACATCAACTGCACATGGATTTTCTGGACTATCTGGTGCATCAACATTAAGTAGAAATGGATTTCATGGACCAACTGGTGCATCAACATCAAATGGAAATGGATTTTATGGGCCAGCTGGTGCAGCAGCTATTGTGCTTGTAAAAGATGTTGACGACAGTGATGAACATGCAGTTGTGGTATCAAATTCAATTCAATATTACATTATATTATATCATTATTTAATTACAAAATGCAGCTTATGCTCATGTTTTCTTTTCTCCATACGTAGTTGCACCGATTTCGCCTAGGGTTGGGAAATCAAACAATTAGCGTTGCTGAGTATAGAGGATTAATTTTAGGACTGACCGAATTGTTAAGGAGAGGATATACGGATATCGCTGTGCAAGGAAACTCTGAACTTGTCATCAATCAGGTTTGTTCTAGTATATAGTATGCATTATTAGTAATAACATATACCATTTCCTTTACAAAAAAGAATGGCTACTTTTAATTTTTTTTATTCATTTTTCTTTTCTAACCAACAGTTTCGAGGTTTGTGGGTAATCGACGACCCGGAACTAAGGAGGTTATGTGATGAGGCTTTGGAGCTGCGTACTAACTTTGGATCATTTTCCATCAATCACATTGATGAGGTATTTATTTGCTAATTTGGTCTGAAATGCTCAAGTGTCAAATGAGTATTGCTTGGTGAAGTTGAAAACAGTTACAAATAAATACCTTTTTTTTTTTTAATGGTTACAGAACTTAAGCCGTGCAGTTAATGATGAAGCAGTCCGGGCCCTTTCTCTCGCAGGTTGGACCTCAAATCATCTTTGGTTTTCTATTTCAGTTGAGATGCAATATTGTGAACAATCTGTGTTTAATTTGCCACAAGATTTTATAGTCATATATGAATTTGGTAGGTGAACATAAAGTTTAATGGATCTAAATTTTTTTGTAGATGGTCAAGTTGAAGAAGAACCACAACCATAATCGAAAGCTATTCGCAACATTACAATCAGCTCACGTTTTTGCCTAGCAATTTACCATGTCAATTTGAACATGTATTTTTGTGTACTTTTCCACCATTAAGAGTTTAAGAACATAAGAGTGTTGATGCAATGTTTGGATTTTATGTGCATATTTTCCAAGTTCGTCTTTACAACTCTTTGTTACGTGTGATACTGATGATGACCACCATTAGTGAAGGTGTTTGATGTCATGACATTTTCCTGTTTGATACAATATATTCTTCTTAATATTTTGTACTATACTTGATTTTACAAATTCTCTACTATGGTGTGTTTGTATAGGAGTAAAATAATTCCTATCTTAGATTCTTTCAACTTAGTTTATAGCAGAGAAACCACAGTTTCATCTAATTTATAGTTTTTTATAGATAATCTTAAAAATTTTATTATGATGAAATAAGATGGTTTTTTATAAATATATAATATTTTTTTAATTTTTAGTCATTGTAACTAATTTTTTCAAATAACTGTCCGTCAAACATTAAAGGATGTTCATATAATACTTAATAGAGTGATTAGAAACAAAAAAAATAGCATTATTACAAAGTTCAATAACTTATATATGAATATATCATTTTTTTTTAAATTTCTTTATACAATGTAATGAGAACTTATTCTAAATGTAAATATCATTTAATGGATGGAAAATATTTGGAAAGACTATTATTTAAAGACATTTTTTGAATTTTTTTTTTGAATAACTATGTATTAAAAAAAAATCGTAAATAACCACGTTTCAGAAAAAATTACGCAAATAACATGTTTCAGATGACTCCCCAAAGGAGGAGCCATCTCACTTGGCGCCTACACCCATTATTTAAGGGGAGGCACCATCTCACTTGACGCCTAGGTGCTTAGGGCATGCCCTAAGCCAAGTGAGATGGCGCCTTAGTGCAATTCTAGGGTAAATTTCGCATTTTTTTCTTCAGTCCAGTGCGTTGCGTATTGGATACAAGATCAACAAATTTGACTTTTTATTAAAAAAATGATTACACCCATATGTATTACATTAAAAAAACAGATAAAAAAATATATAAATCAGTGATCCCCCGGAACCCGGTAATGACCCCTGGTTCCGCATCCCCGTCCTCGCCTTTCCCGTGCTGGGTGTCGTCGCGTTTCCTGCTGTGGCAGGGTCGATGGCCCAGCGAAGTCAATGCGTTCTGGATCCATGAAATCAGTCAGATCTCCATATCTAGAAGATCCGCTTTGGTACAATCGATTACCCATACCCTCAAAGTTTGGTCGTGTTGACGGTGGGTGGGGTTCCATGGTGGGTCTGTAGCATTGATCGTCTGAGTACGGGGGGTATAAGGGAAATGGATCCTGGGGTGTTTGGTATTGAGGATGTTGGGTGGTTTGGTGATACTGTGGTTGATGGTAAGTTGGATCGGTTGGTTCGTAATCTTCCAACATTCCCAGATCAGGGCTAAGGTTGGATGTTGAGGGGCCCATATTGGGATATACAGAAGACTAAAATTGTGTGTGGGGTATGCGGGTGTGTTGGTATTGTGATTGGTATTGCGGTTGGGTGTGAGGCATATGGGGGTATTGGTACTGAGGTGGTGATAGGGGTTGGTTGTGGGGCATTTGGGTGTAATTGTGTTGTGGTGGAGACTGTGGTTGGGTGTTTGTGGTTCTGTTTCGTCTGGGGGGTTGGTGGAAGGTTGATGTGTGTTGGGTTTGTTGTTGGGGAAATGAGGGTTGTGCCCATTGTGTTCGTGGGTCAACCAAATACCTTGGATGAGACACATGCATTTCAGGGTTACTAACCGACCTGTACCAAGATAAATACGGATCCGTGTGTCACATATTACCATGATTGAGGAAAACCGGGAATTACAAGACATGTCGGTGACGCCTCTGCCACATCTTACACCATTCTGGAGCAAAGTCTTTCCAGTTGGTAAGACCCCATTGGGCGTCGACCCTTTTGAGATGCTGTTGGCTGAAGATTTTGATAATGTTATCTAGAATTCAAAAGAGTTAAAAGTTCTGATCGAAATGGAATTGAACACCATATTTCGAAGTTGCAGAAGCAGTGTTTCGAATGAGTGTGTCAAAGCTTGAAGCTTCGAACGGTGATCATGGGAAAATATCCAAAGGGGTCTCGAAACAACAGCGAGGCTAGGTTTGGGAAGAGTGTTCGAAACGGAGAAACACTAAAGCATTTAAAATTCAAATGGAAGCGGGACTTTCAAAAGTTTGAAAGTTTTGTGTTGGAGCATTTGGGGACACGTGGAAAGATGAAAGAAGCATTGTCTTGCATGTTCGAAACGTGGCATAATCCTATAGCGAGACCGTTAGGGTCGAATTAGTATAAATAGAAGTCTTAGTATTAGGATTTCAGTGTGTCATATCTGTTATACAAAATACTCAATAACATTCAAACTACCACATGGCAAGGGAAACGAATGCAAGAGAGATGTATGTATGATAGCACCATGTATTTTTAACTTAATGAAAGCCTTTTTACCATTTCCAGTACTTTCCTCTTTTCTTTTTATCGAATAACATTTACAAGTTTCTTTATTTATTGTCTTTTCATTTCAAAGTCTTTTCCTCAAAGTTTTACGTTTTATTGCTTTCTTTATATTTCGAGCACTTTATATTTCAGAGAACTGTTACGCTTTCAATACCTTTACTTCCAAGTATTGTTTTTCAAACGCATCCTTTTACTTAAAATCATTTATTGATTTCTTGCATTAAACGCTTTCTTCACATTTTAAACTTCTACATTCCAGAAATCTTTTATGTTAAATGTTTTGCAAATCGAAACCATTTACTTCATTTTTCATACAGTTTTATATGTCTCTTCAATCAGCATTACAATTAGCATTTATTCGTATAACTTAGTTTTCATGTACAATTTGACCACATTTTTAAACTCTTAGAGAGAAGGATCGAAATAAACCAAACACTTGTACAATAGCAACCATGAATAATTGTTCGATTGTGAGAGTAACTTTAATATCCAAGGAGTCCTAGGATCAATCTAGTCGATCCTGTGAGTTACCAGAGAGATCGAGTAGCGTTAATAAAGATTATTCGATAGTTTGGAAGACTAGCGGTTGTTTACCAGAAATCACTGGAAACAAATTGGCACACCCGGTGGGACCAATAGTTGGATATCAGAATTAAGGATTGTCGAGACGTAGCCATCCCAAAAATGTAGGAACCTAAGAAGTTTGCTGTTTTATGAACCTGAGAAGTGGTAAGATAACCAACAGCAACCAACCTTTATCCAGAAGAAAACGTTTGGACAAAATGTCTAATTCAGACAATCAACAGGGAAACCAAGGTGACCCACATGCAACAGGCACTAACGCGTCCATTTCGAGCGGAACATCTAATGTAATCCCTTCGAATGCACAGTCTGTCGCATCTTCAACCAGTAACATAGCCACCACTGGAGTAAGTGGCATATCAACTAACAGTTCGATCTTAGGAAATACTGGAACTATGGGCTACCCTGGGGGATTCGTTCCACCACCAGGAACACAATCCCATTTAGCCACACCATTAACTAGACCACCCCGCTTCGATGGGAATAGAATTAGAAGTTCTTCTTACGGAATGCCAACATCTTTTATGGCAGGTTTACACAATTCCACTTCGAATTCATCCCCACAACTAGGATCTGGGTCTGGGGCGAACCAATTTATGACAAATAACCAAGGGTCAGTGGGTTATAGCACGTTGCCTATCCTAACCACAGATAACCAGTTGGCTTTTAGGCAATTGATGGATGACAGCAACCACAATATGATAGGGGTGTTAGCACAAACCATGCAGGAAATATTTGCCCCAATAGTTCAGAATGTGACTGTGACGAACAGGGAAAACGCTGACAATATGAGTCGAATAGCAGATTTCTTTGCTCCCACAGAAAGGCGTAGGCAGAACCAGGCGGGATTTCGAACAAACATGCCTGTTATAGAACGAATTGCTAACGACCCAATTCAGAGACTACCCAGAGAAGAAGCTAACTTAGGGGCCAGAGCACCAAGGTTAGAAGCCCCAGTAATTCAGGGCCCACAAAGGGAAGTTATGGAACCAGGGGCAAGGATCGAAAGGCCAGAAGCCCCAGAACTTCGAGAAGAACAACCCAGGGGAGTTGTTTTTGTTGGTCGAAATCAAGATGCCGATGCCGTCGTTCATAGGATTCGAAACGATAACATCTTGGCAGAAAATAACCTAACCACCATGATAGAGAGGATCATGGCCCAGAATGGCCTCAATACGGGAATGAGGAGGCCAAATTACGCTTCTCCTATATTGGATTGTATAATGCACACTGATTTACCAAGGGGATACAAAATCCCTAAATTTACAAAGTTCGCTGGGGACACCAACGAGTCAACGGTCGAACACATAGCGAGATACCTAACCGAAGCGGGAGATATAGCCAATAATGAAGATCTCAGGATCAAATACTTCCCAAGTTCCTTGACAAAAAACGCCTTCACTTGGTTTACCACGTTGCCTCCTGGATCTATTGACACTTGGGCCCTTTTAGAGAGATTATTCCATGAACAATTTTACATGGGACAAACGAAAATAAGTTTGAAGGAATTGGCCAGTGTTAAGAGAAAGTTCACTGAACCCATAGATGATTATTTGAATAGATTTAGGCTGTTAAAATCCAGATGTTACACAGTAGTGCCTGAACATGAGTTAGTCGAAATGGCCGCTGGGGGTTTGGATTACTCTATTCGAAAGAAATTAGATACTCAGTATTTGAGGGATATGGCTCAATTAGCCGACAGGGTTCGACAGGTCGAAAGACTAAAAGCTGAAAAAGCCAGAGTCTTTAAGAATAGTAAGAAAGAAAGGGTTTCCTATGTTGGGACTGAGGAAGTAGAAGAATATCCTGAATTCGAATTCGAAGAGGTCGAAATCGACCTCGCTGAATTAAAACAGGCCCCGCCTTACTCCTGCAAAATGTTAGTTCCCACGAAA